CTTATTACTTGCTAGACTAAACAACATGTTAAATCTATCCTTCAATGAATAATTACCCACCCATTGGTCATACCAAAATAATGTATCATTACCTTCTCTAGCCATCCTTTCGATCATCATCCTAAACCATCCTTCTCTACCCATAACACTTTCATCAAGCTTCCATATATCCTTCCACCACCTAGAGCAATAAGTACCCCACTCACCACCCCTCTAGACATTCATTCTATCCACATCATACTTAGACCACATAAAGCTACTCCATAAAGTTTCTTTATCCTTTAACAACCTTTATCTCCACTTTCCTAACAACACCACATTAAAAAATCCTAAATTTTTTACCCCAAGACCCCCATCCCTTCTTTTCCTACACTTTCTCCCACCCCATCCAAGCAATCCTAGTACTCTCTTCACTTCCCCCACAAAGAAACCTTTTCTAAATTAAAGATAAAATATTGGTTAAATACCCTTTTGGTCCCTCTACTATAGGAAAAAGCCCCTTTTTGGTCCCTGTACCGAAAAAATTCCCTTTTGGATCCCTAAATTTTAAAATCCGACTTTTTTTTAGTCCCTCTGTTAATTTTTGCTCACGTGGCACATTAACTTAACTGAAACAACTGATGTGGATATGCCAATGTGTAAAAAATGCTTATGTGGACTTAATGATACCGTTCACGTCACCCTCCCACTGCGGGAAAAGAAAAATAAAAAAAGTTAAATGCTAAATTTGATCCTTCAACTTTATAGGTTTGCACTTTTTTGGTCCTTAAATTATTTTTTTCACTTTTTTATCTTTTAACTCTAAAAATTATACAATTTTGGTTCCTCCGTCAATTAAGCATGACGTGGCAGTTAAATAATTCCATTTGGTATTTTCTTTTAATGTTTTTGATGATATAGCAATTATATATATTATAATTATGTTATATAAATAAATAAAAATGTCATGTAGATAAATATTTATATTTTAATTAAAAAATAAAATTACATTATTACCCTCACCTCCCAATCCCTCTTTTCCCCCTTTTTTCTTTCTCTTTCTTTCTTTCCTACCCACTTCGGCTGGGTTCGATGAGCTGGGTAGCTGGGTTCGACGAGACCCAAATCTGCTAGGTTCCGTCGAACCCAACCTTGCTAGTCGTCTGAACCCAGCCTTGCTGGGTTCGTCGAAACCCAGCTGCTAGGTTCTCGCGACCAGCAAGGCTGGGTTTCGACCAACCCAAGCTTGATGAAACTAGCAAGGCTGGGTTTCGACCAACCCAGCCATGCTGGTAGCGCGAACCTAGCCTTGCTGGTTTCATTGAAACCCAGCCTTGCTGGTTTCGTTGAAACCCAGCCTTGTTGGGTTTCGACGCTGGGTTCATGTTTTTTCATTCTTCTTTCGATTTTCATTTCCGGTTCTTCATAAATTTGAGAGTTGATTTACAATTTGATTGTATTTTTGTTGGAATTGGATTAGAGTTTGATTGATATTGTTTATTGAAGGGTTAATTTGATTTGATGGGATCTATTGGCTTGACGAACTCAGTGGCTTTAATGAAACCAGTAACTGGGTTCGATGATAACCACTCTCAAACGGACCTAAATATCCATCCACTTTTGCTTCAGCTTATTCGCAAACCCCTGTCGTTCTCTATTTTTGGCGCGTACCTCCACGGCCTCAACAAAGGTGAGCCGTAGCGTATTACCTTCACCTCCTCCAGATGAGCAGTATTCTTCTTCTCGTCCACCATGGTCAACTCACCATAGATAAAACCTTTGAATGGATTCAGCTTTTCACGGAAAAACATATTGAAAACATACTGACAATGACAAAGAAAAACAATTCCGCGTTAATAAGCAAACAAATAACAACACCATAAAACTGACTAGGGGTATCGTAACTTGGTCTAATTTGACTGCCGACATTTCTCCCATTCGTCAATTTAGGTTTGTTAGTTGTTTTTTTTTTTTTTTTAAATCTTTAATCTAGTCAGACTATTTTGACCGATGAATCTTGAAAAATGTGGTTATAATCACATAATTTAAGAAGAAAAATTATACAGGGACTGATTTCTGTAAGATGAAATTAGGGGATGATTTACGTGATTTGCAACGTATACAGACGTCTAACCCCACTTTAAATAGATTACTGAGAATTTTGACTTTTTTCACAGCCGTCAGCTTAATCAATGCAAACTATGAGGTAGGCCCCCAGGATTGTGGGACCTAATATTAAATACACTAAAAAGAAAAAAAAGGGAAAAGTGGGTCCACAAGAAAAAGTGGAGTCCATATATTGTTTGTAATTTGGTTGTGTGTCTGTATACGTGACAAGTTACGTAAGTGGTTTCTTAATTTTATTTTACACGAATCGGTTCTTGTATTATTATTTATTTAAGAATAGTTTTTGAGATAATGATATTTTATTCATCTTATACTATATTCACTTACCTAAAAATAATACGTATTTAGTGCATCAATAAATTTAAAGGCAAACATGTAAAAATAAAAAGAAAGAATAAATTGAAGTAAAGTAAAGAAAAAAAACCATTCCAATTAAATTTAAAATTAATCGATTTTGATATTAATTACATTTAACAATCCCAACAATTGTGTTAGAAACTTGATGCTCTAAAATTCACTAATAAGTGTACAAGTTGCCGAAATAATAAAGTGATGGATAAAATATCATTTCCACAAAGAGAAT